AATAAATACATACATATATGTATATGTGTGTGTGTGTGTGTGTGTGTGTGTGTGTGTGTGTGTGTGTGTGTGGACACTGTTACTCTACCCCCTCCCACTTTACAGACGAAGAAACTGAGGCTCAGAGGTTATAGTGCAGTGGTTCTCAACCTTCTTAATGCTGCGACCCTTTAATACAGTTCCTCATGTTGTGGTGACACCCAACCATAAAGTTATTTTTGTTGCTACTTCATAACTGTAATTTTGCTACTGTTATGAATCGTAATGTAAATATCTGATATGCAGGATGTATTTTCATTGTTACAAATTGAACATAATTAAAGCATAGTGATTAATCACAAAAACAATATGTAATTATATATGTGTTTTCCGATGGTCTTAGGCGACTCCTGTGAAAGGGTCGTTCGACCGCCAAAGGGGTCGCGACCCACAGGTTGAGAACTGCTGCTTTAAAGGGTCTGTGCAGCATCGGGCCTTTGCCTTGCTCCCTCCCTCAGCCATGTTTATGGAAATCCACACGCAGGCTCAGTTTCCTGATTCTCAAGATGCTTTCCTTTCACAGATATTAGGACCGGATGATCTGAGTCTCTCGGCTAGTTTCACAGACAAAGCGAGGGGTTTTTAACCTGGCTTTCCTCAGCGTTTCGGGGGCTGTGAGCACAATTTCCATAAACAAGGACATCCCTGCTGCATTTCATGGTGGTCAAAAGCAGTCCAGGGCTAGAAATCCTATCACAGGCCTGACGAGGGCTCCACCCCCACGGGCCTGTTTCTGTGAAGTGGGCAGACTTTGGGGGGGGGATCAGAAGTGCTCAGCCCTGACAGGCAGGGCAGGGTGGCACCTTCCATTCTTAGCTTCCCCAGCAATGCAGAGCGCAGGCCAGAGCAGCTTGAAGTCGTGGGTTCATATGTTCCTTCTGTAAATATTTAACACCTACGGCCAGCCAGGTGTTGTTCTGGGGGCTGAGAAATCAGCCACCAATCCAACAAAATTTCTGCCACCATTAAAAAACATTCCAAACAAATAAATGTATATTATAATGTGTGGCAGTGCCAGGTGCCATGGGAAAGGAATGAGTGAAGTGATAGGATAAAAGGCCGCTTCCCAGCATTTTCCTATGGTTAACAGGGCATTTCCCGGGTACGGAAAGGAGCAGTAAACACTGTCAAACTCCTATACTCGCGAGAAAGCGCAGTCTGAAACCTAGCCAGTGAAAACTCTTAAACAGACGTAAGACCCCCGTGCCTCAGTTTGCTCACCTGTAAAATGGGGACAGTATCAGCCACCCGGCTCCAAGGAGGAAATGTGGATGACACAGGACAAGGATGCACCCAGGCTGTGCAGAGAGCTCAACGCTGCTCAGCCACGATCTAATCATCCCTGTGCCCAGCAGTGTCCACCCCCAAGCAGTTCCTCAGTTTCCCTTTTCATCTCCTTTGGAGCAGATGTAAGGGCACATCTGTGTCCAAAACAGGAATTATTTTGTAGGGGAGTGTTTTACTGGAGATGTGCAGGGCTGAGGGGAGCTAGCGTACTTTTGGAACCAAGTAAGCACAGTTCCGATTTAGCTCTTGTCTTCCTTTCCAAACATATAGTTTAAAAAAAAATGTATACGCTAATAATTAGAAAGCGACTTTTGAAGGCATTTGTTGGGCTGTCTCATTTCTTACAGAAAATTCTCTGTGGTCAAAATGAAAACTTCCTATTGCCATAAATAGCACTAAGAAAAATTAACAGTTGTGTTAGATGGAGTCCTTTGAAATGCTTTTGCTATAATAGGACTTCACTTTGATTTATGTAGGTTGATGACTGCCAAAAAGTTGAATGACAAAATTTTCCAATGCAAAAATAACTTTCATGAAATGAATAAAATGCTTGAAACATACATTTGATGAATAAATTCTAACACTAGTTGAAAACCGACTGCCAGATTTTTCAAAGGTCGTTGAAAATGGGTCCCTTTAGCAATGCAGGTGAAAGAAAAGTGAAGAAATTGATTTTGAATTAAATTTGCAACCCTAATCCCACAGCTGCTTACCTACATTTGGCCAAATATGAATTTAATAGATCTTTCCCACCCACCATTAAAAGCGAGTTGTTTGTTCCTTGAAAAAATGCCCCTAGGAAATCTATTTGAGAAACAAGGAAACAAACATTAATTTACAAAGAACAATTAATCTGTAGATGTGCTGTACAACGTAATAGCCACCATATTAGTAAATGTATTCCAAATCTTTCCAATTAAATCAGAAGCTGCATAACTCACAATAGATTACAAAAATTAACGATCATCCTAGATCTGACATATCTTCAGAGAAACCAGGCCAGGTAATTGCCACACAGTGTCACAAACAGAAGAAAAAGATTTTTATATCAGACTTGAAACAATGGCCGTTACTAGCTTTCACTCTCCCTGCCCAGAACTTACAGGGCAAGTGACTATGCCTAGGAATAAATACATTCTGAAAACTCTTGGATCATACTCAGACTATTCACAGTACCCACTGTCACTTCATGTAAATCTAATCCTTTTGGGCAGTGCATTTAACACACTCCTTACCCAGACACCTGATGTCCCTTTCCCTGGTCCCCCTTTTTATTCACAGCATTTGTCTTACTTCTTTTCTATGTACATTGGTATTTGCATAATAGTTAGGGCTTATTCCCAGAGAAGGCTGTAAGATCCACACAGGTAGGAATCTGTAACTTGCTCAGTGAGATGACCCCAGCACCTACCCACTGCCTGGCACATAGTCAACTTTCAATAAACTGTATTGTCTGGGTCAGCTTACATGCAGCATGATAGCTCGTTACTTAAAGCAACATAATGTTGGATTTCTTTTATAATATAAAGTCTTCTTCCATTCAAAACAAAACAAAACTACATTCATTTCCTAATTATGAGCCCACAGTTTTCTGTGCCAGGTGCTCTTAAAGCAAGGATTAACTGCAGTTTATCAAAAGAAAAAAAAAAGAAAAAGTCACTTAACTACCCTGTGAGTACAGGGAAAAAGGGCGGTGGCAATGACAACTGCATGCTCATAACCAGTGATTCCATATCTAGCAGCTGTAGGGCAACCACTTCAAAATGCCTGCACCGTGGCCCTGCCCTGAAATCAAGAGCACGCCAGTGGGACCCGAGTGTGACGAGCAGGCTTCCTGCGGGAGACGCCTTCCACGTCATCCAGCCAGTCACTCACTGCATTATGTTCACCGCACTTTTCTCTTTAGATGCAAACCACTCGAGCTGCATACTCCAAAGCATGAATATAATTCCTAGGGACAGAGTTCTCCTTCAAATGGCTAGTCAAACTCCTTTTCTCTCTCATTTTGAGTCAAGCATCAAAGCATCTGTGTTTTTTTTTTCCAGTTTTCCTACAAAGAAACGTGTACTAAGGTCTCATACATTAAAAATGACCCTCTCATCTGAGCTCTGTCATTTACCAGCCGTATGTCCTCAGGCAGTTTCCTCGTTTGTTAAACAGGGTCCATGCTGCCCAGAATGACCAGGGTTGGGAGGTGTTGACTGCGGGGCCTTGAACGTGGAGTGCTGCAGCACGATTCTGCCCAGACGTCACAGGCCCTCTCCAGGGGGGCCACATGGGCAGCGGCCCCACCGAATGGAAAGCCCTTCAGTGAGAGAGCGTGTTCCTGGGCAGCCATCACCACGCACACTTTGTAAGCATCATCTCACTGACTCCCGCCACAACCCCTGATCCTGACATCTTCCCACTTCTTTCCCATGAACACATTCAGACTCCAAGGGATTAAATAAGCGGAAGAAACAACTAGTGATCGGCAGAGCTGGGGTGCCCGGGGCCCTCCATCTCACTATCGCTAGTCCAGCACCCTGATCTGAGATCTCTGGACTCCCATCCAATCCCAGACATCAACCAGCCACCCTACCCTGTGCTCTGTACCACTCCGCCCACTGACACTGGAATGACCAAGTCTTCTGTCCTGTACCAGTCAGGATCTGGGAGGAAAATAAAAACCGCCCCAAATATCTCACCAGAGAGAATCTGATGCAGGAAACAGGTCGGTATGGTGGATTTGCGGAACTGAAAACGTGCACCAGGAATGCTGAGGCAACGCAGAATAAGAACCACCACCCCTGGAGAGGGATGGGAAGAGGTGGGGTGACTGGGACCTAGAGGCTTGGAGAAGGGCCTCCGGGGACCTGGGCACCGACTTCTGAGAAGTGGGTGCTGCCAGCTGGTACTGGCTCTGCCCAGACAGACAAACTGGAGGTTGAAACTAAGGGCCCCTGGCCGGGAAGAGCAGAAACAGCAAACACACAGGAGGGGCGAACCCTGCTCCCTCGCCCAGCCTCCCTGGAGGGGCCCTGTGGGCAGAATCTAGCTGGGAGCCAGCCTGACAGTCCCCCCAGTCCAAACCCCACGTCAAGCATATACGGTGAGTGTAGAGACACAGCTCTCCACCAGGGGGCACGGGTACATGGAGGAGACAGGACAGGCTGCAGGAGCTCCTGAGAGTCCCCTCCAAGGGGCCTGATTGGGGTGTGACCCATAACGATGCCGATCGAAAGGACTCTTCCCATGTGATCTGGCCACCACTGACTGGCCCATGAATGGAAAAACAGCATTCTGTTTTAAAGCCCAAAATGCAATAGATATTGTACCAAGACTTGTCACATGCATCCTGAGGGCATGTGGCGGAGAGTAGGGGAGGCCAAGGGAAGGTTAATGGAGGGAAAAAGGAGACATATGTACTACTATTTGTAATACCTTAAACAATAAAATAAAAAATAAAAAAGAGCAATCAGCTCCACTATAACTCAGCAAAGGTGTTCTTAAAAATCACCATCCTATGTAAAACCGCACAACAAAGACCACAGGGCTCATAGGAAAATTGGGGACAACACACACAACTTATTGTCAGTGAACCAGAGGAACCTACCAGAAACAGTAGCACCTCTGCATTTGTATTAAATGATTAAGAAGTACAGAAACACTAATAAAAATGTCTTGAACTTTACCTTGAAGAAGGCCCCATGTTGGGCTGCGGACGTGGGTTATCTGAACTTGGAGGGACAGCTGTGATGCCGGATGTGGTGGGTGTGGCTCCCCCTCCACGCGGATGGGGCGGCCGGTAGATTGCTGAGGTGTGGGTCTGGGCTTCCTGTCTTCCTAGGCAGCTCGTCAGCTGGGCTCTCTTTCACCTAATGTTTCCTGCAGACAAAAACCTCACCTAAGCAAATACAAAACCCATGCTATTCAAATCGCTTCCTAATATACTGATCACATTAGAACAAATTCATGGTTTCAAAATAATTACAGCAGAACTGATCACATCCTGTAGGCCAGGTAGTATTACCTCCTCTTTTACAGGTGAGAAAACGGACTCAGAAAGATTGAACATCTTGCTCAAACATCTCTCTTAAAAAAAGAAAAAAAGGCATACCAGCTTCCTGTCTCGGGCCAGCACTAAGGTACATGGCTTGGCAGCATGAGAGCAGAGCAGTGGAACCCAAGGGCAGCTTCGGCACAGTCTCGCCAGTGACCTTTCCCAGGTGGGTGTACGGGGCCCAGGATGGGGCGGCTGCGGATCTCAATCTTCTCCAGGTCGAGGTTTAAAGCAAAGCAGAGCTGCTGAGCGATGGAATGCTTGTCCCTCCCACTTTCCCAGACATGCGCTCCAAGGCCTGAATCACCGTGACCCTCAAAACATGTTGGGTCATAGGTGAAACCCCTGGGAATGATTGTCCCAGCTGCCAAGGTCCAGAAATAAAATGCACCATGAGTTTCTGAGTCTGTTCTTCAGACTCTGCCACAGTGACCTCTGTAACATGCAGAAATCCATAGTCATTCTCGGAACTAGTCTCAGAACCTGACGATGGTTCTGGCCCCAACTCCTTAGCCTAGAGCAGTGATGGCGAGCCTTTGGAGCTCGGCGTGTCAGCAGTTTGAGAAACCCTAACTTAACTCTGGTGCCGTGTCACATATAGAAATTTTTTGATATTTGTAACCATAGTAAAACAAAGACTTATGTTTTTGATATTTATTTTATATATTTAAATGCCATTTAACAAAGAAAAATCAACCAAAAAAATGCGTTCGCGTGTCACCTCTGACACGCGTGTCATAGGTTCGCCATCACTGGCCTAGAGGACAGGGTCCTCTTAGATGTGGCACCTGCTTCCACACCCAGCTTCACCTCCAGCTAAGCCCCCGCCCAGCCCAGGCTGCAGCCGGCCGAGGGATGCACTTGCTTTCCCGCACGCACCAGGTCACTTTGGAGCCACATAAACTTGTCCACACTGACCACCCCCCATCCCGCCTCCCCCACTGAATGCAGTCCAGCCCATCCCTCCACACAGCTCCTCTGACAGGACCCCTTCCCCCATGTCTTTACACAGAAGGAACCACTCCTTGGGCCGGGCCCCCACTGCGCCCTATATTAACTCTGATCATAGCTCCCTGGGAGACGTTTCTTCTTTAACCGCAAGCATCCGAGGGCATCGGTCCTGTCAGGAAAATCTCTGCATTCCCAGAACCCGACTCACTGCCTGGCAACCAAATGTGTCACAAACGTTTAAGCACTGGATGAATCCGAGGCTATAATGTTACCACGACAGGAAAAGTACAGTGAAGATCAGCCTGAACCTTTTCTTCCCTCCATCTGGAAAGTGCCGTGGCTGCACTAAGTACGTTTCTGTGTAGAGGAAAACCCACTGAACTGATGAAGGCAGTATCCTGGGCTGAATGTCTGTGCGCCCCCCAAATTCATATGCTGAAGCCCTAAGCCCTAATAGGATGGTATCTGGAGGTGGAGCCTGTGGGGGCGGGGTGACGTGGTTTAGATGATGAGATTAGTGTGCTTCTAAGCGAAGACAGCTCCCTTCTCCACGCGCAGGCACCAAGGAGAGGCCCGTGAGCGCCTATGGGGAAGGCGGCTGTCCACCAACCAGGAAGCGGTTCTCACAGCAGCAGGCTGTGGCACCTTGATCTTGGACCTCGAGCCTTCAGAACCGTAATAAATGAATTTCTGCTGCTTATGCCACTCTGGTGTTTTGATACAGCAGCCCAAGCAGATGGAGATTGCAGACGATTTTTAGATGTATCGAAGGGTTTAGCCAAAATGAAGATGGCTTGGGGGCACCATCTTCTGTCCAGGTGTAAGATTCCCGAGAGCAGGAGGCTCACAGATGCGTCTCACTGAAGGCAGACTGACTGAAAGAGAGAGAGTACCAAGGAAGTGGCAACCAGGTCACAGGGAGTGCTCACCGGGCTGAACTGCGAAGTGAGGCATCTGCATAAGAAGCTACGGAGGAAGCATATAATTTTGACTGCTGTGGGCAATCAACACTTCTTTATAGAATCTGAGGATTGAAAGAAAACTCCTCCGCTGTCATTTGAGGTTGACCAACTCCCTGTTTAAGTAAAAGTAGCTGGTTTCCAATTCCACGGTGAGGCCAACGTAAGTCAAAACACCGTGAAAACGTTACCGACACCAGATCTGGCGTGTTATAAGGAACATGGGTTGTGCCATGGCTTCCCCGGGGTTTCCCTGGACCCGCTGACTTCAAGAGATCTCTTGTACTCAGGGTGGCTCATTCTCCCCGGCAGCAGCGGGGCAAATACAAACCATATGATAATGGTTTACTGGGCATCAGCTGGAAAACGCATATTCTAGAAAACACATCCAAAAGCTCCCTAGATTTTTACCTCTATTTTGGTTGGCCATTTCTTATCACTAAGGAAAGGTAAATCCTGAGAATCCATTTCTGACAGCTCAATATCAAAGATGGTTTCAGGCAAAATTAAAGGCAGGAACGTAATGTGTCCTCACACAGGGAAGATGGCCCACGGAAGCTCCAGGCTCTGTGTGTCTAAGTGTCTAAGGAAGGCACCCATGTAGGTCTCTGTCTCAAACCCTTTTTGCCCCCAAGACCCTTCACTGGTCTTTTGCCCACAAATGTGCTGACCTGCCCCACAGCCCCATGTCCTACAATGATCACTGGTCTAACTAGTTAAACTCACTAGTTAAAATCCTCAAATAGGTCTCTACTCGTTATATTTATCTCCTCTGTCACCAAAATCTCGTCACTTCTTCCTTTAAAGTATTAGGGACAGACAAAAACATCTAAACCTTCTCTTGGCCAAGCCTTGGAACCAGAGCACAGGTTAGAGAGTTGGCTGGCTGTTCTCCAAAATTCACACCGCCTGTCTGTGCTGGCGTCTTGCTGGGAGGGGAACCGATCCAGTCACCTCTGCCCAGTGAGAGGCCCTGCTTCTCAGCTGGGAGGTGAGCCAGATCCAGTCACCTCTGCCCAGCCAGGGGCCCTGCTGCTCAGCTGGGAGGGGATCAGATCCAGTCACCTCTGCCCAGCCAGAGGCTCTGCTTCTCAGCTGGGAGGTGAGCCAGATCCAGTCACCTCTGCCCAGACAGGGGCCCTGCTGCTCAGCTGAGAGGGGAAGCAATCCAGTCACCTCTGCCCAGCCAGGGGCCTTGTTGCTCAGCCAGCCTCTTGCATTACGGCCTGACCACATGAATTAGCTCCAGACCACAGAATGTGAGGAGTGCCACTGCCAGGCAGGCCCGTGGAAAACTCCCCACAAAGCTCCTCCTGCTTCTCCCTTCGCTGCTGGCAGTGATACAATCTCAGGTCTAAGGGACGGTGGTACCACCAAAGGGAAGAGGCCTGGATTCTCAATCACCACGTGAAGGAAAGTTACCCTCAGCCTAGCAACTGCCCATTGAGCCAACGCATTAAAACACACTTTATGGTATGAAGCCACTGAAATACTGCAGTTTCCTTTTTTACAGCAAGAACATGAGAACCATGTAAGGTTCTAATTAAAGTCACCTCCGCGGGAACGATAACAAGGGCTATGGATTTGCCTTTGATAATATGGCTTGAACCCCTGAAGTATACTATTGCCTTTTGAAAATAATAATTATACTATATATCATATTAAAAATAGCCACCATGTACTGGGCTCTATGTGCTAGCCTGGCAGGAACCACACTGTCTGTTTTCTGTGTTTTGACTTATAAACATCCCGTCAGATACTGCTACTCTGCCTCAGTTTATAAACAAGAACTTAGGCCTGGGGAAGGTAACATGTACAAGCCTGGGTCACGCAACCAGAAAACATCACAGCCACATCCAGTCCACACTGATTTTCTCCAGAGCTCACGTCTTAACTATTTGCTACCCTGACCTTTTTTTAATCCTCACCCAAGGATTTTTTTTTTTCCCATTGCTTTTCAGAGAGAGGGGAAAGGAGGGAGGGGGAGAGAAACATCAATGTGAGAGAGACACATCAACTGGTTGCCTTCCACATGGCCACAACTGGGGCCGGGGATCAAACCTGCAACCCAAATACGTGTCCTTGACCAGGAATCAAATGAGGTCAACACTTGAACCACTGACCACGCTCTCCAGGGCACTCCCCTGACTTAAGAAAAAAGAACAGCACGTTGCCTCAAGACTCTGCATTGTTCAACGCGAATGTAAATTTTTTTCTGCCCAAAACAATAAGCAGCCTGGCCCGTTAGTTAGCAGACTCCCCAGGTGCCTAGGTCTAGCTGCAGAGGCCCCAGCCTGTGTAATGGAAAGGGCTTTCCTGCTGCTCATCTCAGCTGTCCCCGCCCCAAGGACAGTGCTCCGCCCCCCACCCCATGAGTGCGTCGCTCACCTCACCTGGACACCTCCAGTTACACTTGTACTACCTCTGACCATGTCTTAACTCAACCACCAGTTTTTTAATCCAGATCTTGAACAGATTCCAAAATAGCTGTCTCCCCTAGAATGGGGGCTGAAGAGCCCTAAAGTACCATTTCGTCCTGCCCTCGTGTCTAGACGCCTCTTCAAGAAAATCCAGACCACAGATCGCGTGCATCACGCCTCCGGACGGTCTTGAGAAATTAATCTGATCCCCAAATAAATCCACCATGAGTTTTTTAAAAGCGAATGATCTTTACATAAACTGCCTTGCTTACGAGGGATGGCTTTCCAAATTGCAGGCTGAGGGGACGCTCATCGGTCACAGAGTCTTCCTAGACAGAGTGACTTCCACGACCCCCTGCGACCGCCAGCCTCTGCCAGCTGACTACAGGAGAGCCAATTTGTGAGGCAGGGTAACCAGGGAGGGCGGAGGTCATCTCTCAGGGGGCACCGACCTCCTCACCGGAGAGAAGCAGGACAGGTATTTTATGGGCCAAC